TAATTTCATAGGCAAGGATTTTCCAAGTGTATTATTCAGATAGGGGGTCAAGTTGTGCTGTCAGAAGCAAAACCTTGGACTTTAAAATCAATTACGAATATTTATAGAACCTATTTATACAAGGGAAGAGTCTTCTAAGGAAAGGGACAAAGCAAGAGACAAAAATGTTACATTTAATTTTTTTTTTAATCTCAGCAACGCTGTCCCTGGTGATTTTATCAGACTTCAATATCAACAGATTTTCTCTTTTATGTATGTTTATAATTTCTTTTAATTTTTAAAGCTGGTTGCAGAAGTTAATTGAAGAATATGCACAAATCTCTTTCCCTTGACAAAGTGCACTTGTAGGTAGAATAACAACTTCAAAAAGGACAGTGAGATATACAGAGGAGGTCAAATCTTTTTGTATATATGTATTGAAGGACAAGAACATTCTGTTATTATTTTCTAAAAACAGCTGAAAAGCCTTATGGAATATAAAAGCTCAGTTCCTAAGAAACATCAAGACCTTCCAGTAACTAAGAACAATAAAACATATCAGACCTGTTTCATTGCTGTAGATCTGGTGATTCATTTTTCCTATTTATTTTAAATTAAATTTTTAAATGCAATTAAAATGTTTCCACCTGGTAGGGGAAACAAATAATGAAGATCATAAAAATACAATTCTTTAATGACCTGCCTAGGAAAACAGAAAACTTGGGGAATAAACCAAGAGTTCTGTACAACCCAGCTTCAGGGTCCTAACCTGAACACCATCCTGAGGAAAGTAATCATTATATGCAAAGCAGTATCATTTATCACATTCGTAAAGGTGAAGAAGTAATATCAAGTATTTGGAATTAACCTAACCCTTCAGCACACTAAATGGGTCAGACTAATCATATTCAATAGCAATTTTGTACTATAAACACAAGATCTGTTTTCAGCTTTTTCACAGCACCTGAGCAGAATACCAGTGACCTCAAATGAAATGCACAGACATGCATGTAGGATCCAATTCAGTCAAGAAGCTGTGAACAGATTTACAGCCTATATAATTTTACATAGACAGTCTGGAATTGAGAGTTAACATATGACAAAACATGAAATATCCAGGAATTGCCTAATACAACAATACCAGAAGTTGGCTCACAAGCTAAGAGAGCTGCCATAAGCTGTCTGTGTTCTAGTCTGTGATCTAGTATTTATATGAAAAACTACAAGAACTACAAGCACATGCCTTCTGATAAATCCCAAAACAGGACAGGTTCCTCTGCATTAGATGTCCAAGCATGGTGTCAGGTGAGCATGACTTAATTTTGAAGCTTGAAAGACTGTGATAAGTAGTAAAAAGAGATGAACTTTCAAACTAGGATTTTTCTTAGTGTATTTAAGTCTAGCTACTCAATCTCATATTTGAGAAATTGCATGTCAGTTTGGCTATTTAAACTGCTGAGCATGCAGCAGCTTACATTTAGTTTTACTGGAGGTGGTAAGAACTACATGTTCTGGAAAGTCAAGCTTTGGCTTTCCTCATGAGATACTCAGGAGACTAAACACTGTGTAAATGTTTTGATTGTGGGATCTAGGCCCTAATTTTAGAGCACAAACTGCCAAACAAATGGGAGCACTGGTATTTTTTTGAACAAAAAAAAGAAAGTTTTCCAAACTTGAAGAACTAGAATTTCAGAAAATAGGAAGAGCTCTTTTGTCCAAAGGCAAAGACTCCTCTTATTTGAGAACTCACACTGATGTATCCCCACTATAACAGAGACGTATTTTATCACTATGCTTGAAATAGAATATAAATGAAAATAACAACCTGTAGATATCTTTTTTTAAAACATAAGATTACTTTAGAATTTCAGAGTTAAAATTAATAAAACAGTTCAAAGCAATTACACTGAGAAAGAAAAAATCTTTCTCACACAAATCCTACAGTGGTAAAATCGCAATTTTTTGAAAGGGAAAAGAGTAAAGAAAATAAATCACCAATTTGATTGGTTTCTCAGCATAATAAAGTGCTGAAGCAGCACAGTGGAGGATTTGCTGGACAATTTTCTACACTGAAACTGTCAATTCATTCCAAACCTTAGCATGATGGATATTATGGATTGGTATGGATTGCACTGCTCCAACCATCCGAAAGGTCACTTGACAAACACAGCAGGAGTGACCTATTGTTCTTGCCATTGACAATCAGACTGCCATTTGGACAAGTCTTTAAAGTATCACAAATCTTTTCTTCAACTATTAAATAGAAATATTTATCTCTGGTTTGTGGCACAATTAAATGCTGCCATCTTAGCAGTTCATGGAGTTCACTGAAGCAGTCTTAATATCTCCTCTGGATTGCACTTGTAAAGCCTCAGAAGCTAATGGTGAATGGATTGCTCCTGAAATATCAACTACACCACCAAGCAGAATGACCTTTATGTTGGACAAGACCTCTAGCATCAAGTCCAACCATGAACCCGGCACTGCCAAGTCCACCACTAAAGAGTGTCCCTAAGTGACAAATGTACACATCTTTTAAATACTTTCAGGGATGGTGGGCAGCCTGTTCCAATGCTTGTCAAACCTTTCTGTAGAGAAGTTTTTCCTAATATAAAATTTAAACATCCCCTGGGACAAGTTGAGGCCGTTTCCCCTCTTGATCCCTCTGAAGAGCCTTCCTGCCCTCCAGCAGATCAACACTCTCTCCCAACTTGGTGTCACCTGAAAAGTGACAGAGGGTGCACTTGATCTTCTCATTCAGATCATTAGTAAAGATAATAAATACTCAGTACTGAGCCCTGGGGAACACACCTGTGACCGATCACCAGCTGGATGTAACTCCATTCACCACCATTCTCTGGCCCCAGCCATCCAGCCAGTTTTTCACCCAGTGAACAGTGCACCTGCCCAAGCCACGAGCAGCCAGTTTCTGCAGGAGAATGTTGTGGGAAATGGTGTCAAAGGCCTTACAAAAGTCTGGGTAGACACATCCACAGCCTTTCCCTCATCCACTGAGCAGGTCACACTGTAAAAGGAGATCAGGTTTGTCAAGCAGGACCTGCCTTTCACAAACCCATATTGGCTGGGCCCTGCCTCCTGGTTGTCTTTACATGCTGCATGATGGCAAATAAAGATGATCTGCTCCATGACCTTCCCTGGCACCAAGGTCAGGCTGACCAGCCTACAGTTCCCCAGATCTCCTTCCAATCCTTCTTGTACAAGGGATTTACATTTGCTGACTTTCAGTCGACTGGGACCTGCCCAGTTAGCCAGGACTGCTGGTAAATGGTGGAAAGTATCTCGGTGAGCACTTCATCCAGCTCCCTTGGTACCCTTGGGTGAATCCGATCCAGCTATGGAGGATTATGTTTGTCTAAGTGGTACAGTGAATTGATAACTGTTTCTTCTTGGATTATGGAGGCTCCATTCTGCTCCCCATTACTGCCTTCCAGCTCAGGGAGTTGGATACCTGAAGAACAACTGGTCTTACTACTAAAGGCTGAGGCAAAGAAGGCATTAAGTAGCTCAGCCTTTTCCTCATCCTTTGTAACTGTGTTTCCCCCCAGTATCCAGTCAAGGATGGACTTTCACTTTGGCTAAGAGCATCTTGTCCAAAAGTTGCTAAAATTATAATAATCTAGTACATAAAAAAGTACTTTTTGTATTTCTCCTACTGAAAATGGTAAAGAGTCTGAAGAAAACTATGCTGAATTATATCAGTTTATATGGAGTCCTCTAGAACGAAGAACATTTGGACAAATGATCTTCTTCAGCAAGTTTCATTGAATAATAACAGACATAATTCAGGAAAAACCCATCAGTGGGAGACTAGCAGGAAGAAAACCAGATAAGATGACACAGTGAAGAATCTCCAGGTTGTGAACACCGAAATTCAGAACATTTCCCACTACACAGAGCTCTGAAAGCTCCAAGCTATACAGAATTTATGAGCCAAATAAAGTCTGGATGATGGTGTCATTAAGGTACTCTTGGGTATAAAGGAGCCTTCCAGATCGATGTGAGTTAAAAGAGCTGGGGGAAGTATTGCTGAGCTGAGGAAAAACTGGCTTCTACTGCTTCACATAACATTCGTAGGCAGGATCCAAGAGGTGCAGTTAAACTGGGGCATTCCATCAATTTTTGGTCTGTTTCTGATATGCAGCCACATGGATTTCAAAGCAACACAGTATAGTAAAAACACAAATCCTCCACAGTTCTGTTGTCTTCAATCCCATTAAGAAGTTTGAGGCAGTCAAAAGAATCAATCCATGCTAAAGAAGTTCCTGTCTCAGTTTCTCTGTGATGCTGGGCAGTGATTTGTAAGCTCATCCTAAAAATTCCTAATTTCTCACAGAAGATGAGTCATGATCACTAACCAAATATAGCATTGCTCTCACAGGGGGAAAAAGGATGTAAAAGTGCCTACACCATTCTAAAATCCCAAATGTTCCTGTAATGAACTGTGTATCACTAGGGGGCTAAAGTTGTCTTTTGAAAGTATAGCATTAAATGTCAAATTCATTACTGACATGACCTGAAACCATTAGGTCTTTCTTTCTAAACTAGCTGCATATGTGATGTTTGGAATCCTATATGTGTCATTTTCAGATCAAAATGAAACCACAGAGAAAATATTGCGCTTTATTACCGTGTGTGTCATTGTTTGAAAGAATGACTCAGGCATTGATATTTAGACTACTTTCAAGTCAAATATTTAAAGCCTGCATCCTAACCATAAGCACACTTACTGACATATTGGAAGGTCACTGGAACATGAGAAGATAGAGGGAGGTCTAAGCAAAAGACCTACAATCATCTGCAAGGGCGGAAAGGCAACTGTAAGAAAATGGAACTGTTTTTTCATATTTTCATCAAAGTATTGAACAGGTCCCAAACAGTTTCAGATGTATTAAAAATCAGGCCTGTGGCATTTTCCTCTTGCACATTCATATTTCATTAGGTGCAATGACTTTATCTTTTCTCCAGTTAAAAATGCCATTTAAATTGGCTGCTATACTTACTCTTTCACTGTCACAATGTAGCCGTATTCTTTCTCCTCAGAAGACTTCACTTCAAGTTGTAAGCCTTGTCCCATATTTTTCTGAGGCTTTTCATAGGAGTTTCCATCCTGCATTAAAGCATTCTTAATCCAGTAGCTGGTCTTGCTTGGGTCTTTGGAGTCAGATTCACTGTTCTCTGCAGTTGTCAGCTCCCTTGAGAAAGTCTCACTTTTTACATTTTCCACACCAGCATTTATTTCTTCAGAAGAGTCAGTTTCTTCAGATTTCTTGGTTTCTGTCTTAGTAGATTCTTCAGGCCCAAGGTCTTTGGGCACATTTTCAGATAGTGCATTCTCATTCAAGAATTTAATTAGTTTTGCAGTGTTCTCCTATACGAAAAAAAAGATTATTTTTAAAACTAAGCACAGGAATGATATACCAAACCAAAACTAGATTAAATCTTTCAAATTCTATTTTATATGGCAGAGTCTACTCATGCAACTGTTGCATGGTCATTTCTGTAAGCTGCCAGACTGTGTTAAGAACAAAATGTTTATTCAGTAATAATAAAAGAGAGCATTAAACTATGCCACTATATTTTTCCAGAAGTTTTCCTGTGTCTATGCGTTTAAGTATTGATGAAAATAAAACTTTATTATCAGCTAAGTTAATGAAAAGGAGAAAGAATACAAATATCCATCAACATGTGTATGTGTTGGGCCTGGAAACATGAATACTTCTTAGGTCTCACCAGTTATAACAGAGGAGAGGGAACAGATACTATATGACCAATTCTGTTTCACTTGTTCATTTCTAGAAATGGTGACAAACTGTATGTGAGTGATCCAATAAGCTAAACATATGATCACAGAAAAAAAAATCTGTCTAATAAATCAAAACAATAATCAAATGAGCAAAAGTCAAAACATATGCCTGGAACAATTCCTTAGCTTGTTTCATTACATAACTTTATTGCAGCCAAGCATTTGGGAGCAAATGATGGTTAATGGGCTCTTTGTGCTCTGTGTCACAGTATATTCTATTCTATCACATCCTCGATTCAAACTGCCACTGAGAAATCTATACATGGGACCCTCTGTAAGTCTGTTGTAAATACAGCACTTCATTCCTTGAAGAATTTCATCTGGTGGTTAAAGCTTCTGCCACATTGTTCATGTGAGTGTTTTCCTTGCTTGGTAGAAGGGTGGAAGAGATTTTACTGTGAACACAAGAGGATTTGCCTGTTTATGGTCTCAGAGTACTAGCTCTTGACAGAGTATATAGTAGGAGAAGTTTCACAGAGTTTTTAAAAATATTCCTTTGACATTTTTCTGCTCCATGAAACCCAGAAAAAGAAAGATGAATATACTTCAAAAATGGCTGAATATTGGAGAGAAGTCCATAGGATGCAATTCAAAGCTTATGAGGAATATTGTAAAAGTAATCTGGATAAATGCTAAATTTGATGTTCATAGCTACGGTAAGAGATGTAATGCCCAGAGCTTTTGAAATGTCTCTGATATTCAATGAATTAATGGTAACACATAAAACTGAATGGCAGATCCCATGAAAGGAGAGGGAATTTTGAAATACAGCCCATACCCATCCCAACACAAACCTTCAGAGGGAATATATTTACTCATTCACTTCTGAAAACCAGTGAGATTATCTGGGCAAGGATGCTTGCATTCACCAGAACTAAGAGCAAAAGGACAGGGAAGAGTGTTTTCAAGAACACCTCAATACTCAAAATTTATTAGCTTGAGGAAAAGCCTTAATTTGTCTGAACTTTGGGAATCTGTTACGAATTATCCCTATTTACAAATTAAAGAAAGGTAAAAAAGGATTTGATTTTGCTTTTTTGAACAGCAAACCTAATTTTAATTAAGATTTAAATCAATGTTCATTTGATATTTCAATGCATCAACAACTTGCTATTTGTGATATTGAATCATAGCCACAGAAAACACAGAACAAGTCTTACATTTCAGAATTGTGTTTTTGACCTTCACTGCACAGAAACCTGATATTCTGAGATGAAATACTTGCTTTATTAAAATACTGGTACTCTACCTCTTTATCAGTTCTTGCACTGGCTTCATGCACTCCATTGTCTGTAGGATATGAAAAACACCAATATATAGTTATGAAGGGCAAACACAATGTACAAAACAAAGACTTTCATAGGCTGCTTTGTAGCAGTGGCCTTTTTATGTAATTTAAACATTAAGACATCAAAGCTGAAAGGGCACAGTAAAGAGCACTGTATAATTTGTTATTGTTATTCTAACCCCACTTCGATAGCAAATTAATGCAAGATCAATAGACAGAGTACTTCAAGAGCCTAAGTAATAGTGTTATTTTGCTAATTAAGTGTCCAGTTGTCATGTCAGTTTAACAATATCTAAGCAAAAAAACCCTATGAAATGGCTCTAGCTGAATGAACATTTAGAGTAAAAAAAAAAAAAAGGAAACATATACATCCCTCATACATGTTTTGGTGGAAGAAGATGACTTATTTCAATAGATATCATTCACCAAAACCATATTACAGTTCAACTACAGTGATGATATTCAGTCACATCCTTAACCTCAGTCAAATAATGCTGGTTTTTTGATTTATGAACTGGGTGCTATTCTTTTTTCTCAGCATGATTTGGTTTGGTCCTTCTAATATACAAACAGATTTGGCAATTAAAATAACCAGAATATTCCTAACTAGTAAGGATTTCAGTATAACACCATAAAAAAAGACAGCAAGTTAAAATAACTGTTTATGATTTATAGTATACATTTCTGGTGTCCTAGATATTATAACAGTCCTAAAATAGAGAATGACTGACTGATAACTAGTCCCACTGTGGTATCCACTCATTAATGGCAATTACTGTAGCTCCTGAATCTGCATCACCAGGAAAATATATGTGCAGACAGAAGCAAATAACCATAATAACTCTTTTTATTCCCTAAGCGGGAAAGGGAACGAGTGGTTTTTTACCTCTACTTGTCTCAGATTTTCTTCTGCAAGTAATTGTGGCACATTAAAGAATGAGTACCTGTAAAACATTTTTTTTCCCACGTTTTGAAATACACCTTGTAATATAATAATTTTCATTGTCATTTTGCTTAAATATCTCATTCTTGAGAACTGGAAATTAGACCAAACAGCATAAAGCAATTTGTATTTCAATATAATTGTGTGTGTAGGGTTATCCTGTTTGAGAACTTTGAAGGCCAAGTGTTCACAAATAGATTTCTTTTGTAAATAAAGAACCCATTGTAAAAAGAAAAAAAAAAAGCTAAAATTCTGCAGCCTTTGGGGAAATACAGAAATTTCCCTCACGACTTCTTTGAAATGGATTTTTAAAAGTCTGGCACTAATGTGAAACAATAGAGGAAAATTTGGGACACCTGTTTTTTTGTTGTACTTAACTCTTATAATGAATACCTGGTATATTAATGCTGTTTTCCATTAATCCCATCTGAAACTCTGCCTTTCCTTGAGCATCTCCTTTATTTGTTTGTGCTTCTGTTTTGTCTTCTTTAGTTTTTCCAGCACCATTTTGTGTTTCTTGCTGAATGTCAACACTCTGAATTGCAGTGGCGATAGTGTCAGCGATCTCATCCAGTTCTGTTGAGCTGAGATTCTCCACGTTCACTTGGTGTTTCTCTAGGTCCTTCAATACATCTTTAATAAGTGTCTCTGGATCACAAAACAGCATAAGCACATGATTTAGCTGCACACATGAAACACGTGTGCCTATATCAGAAAGCATCTTTTGTTTTTCCCAAAAGACAGCTTTTCCTTCATGAAGATCATCTGTTTTCTAAAGGAAGGCATACACATTCATTAAATGGATGTTAAAGTTTATGACAAGGTGAATCTGTGTCAGGAATGGGAGATATATACCACTACAACCCAGCAAGTTGTCCTAGAGAGAGGGCATAAAATTACCATTTTTCCTTACAAGAAGAGCATTGTTTACTAGTCTAGACTAACTAAAAATACTGAAGAAACGTGTTGAGGTAGCTTAAATTTTTTTTAGTTGCAAAACAGTGCAATCAACACTACTGTGTCTTAGAGATCAAGTTTCTTTGTTGATTTGTTCTTTGCAAGGTGAAGAGCTATACATACTTCTGGGGAAAAAAAAGAGAGTCAGATATTTTTTCCTTCAATCAAAAAGCTCCTCTTCAGTTAGAAGTGGATATGGATATATATCCATTACATACATGGATATGAAAAAAAACCCTTCTAAACTGTATTGATTTCTCTTGGAACTTGCGTATTTTCTCAAAGATATAGATAGATATATATATATATAGATATATATATATATGTATAAAACTTTTTTTGGTTTGTCATCTGTGAATGTTTTACCAGTCACATTGAGGAAGAAAACAAAAAAAAAATCAAACCAACAAAACAACCTGGATGTGATAAACCTTTTGAAGATAAGGAAATTCAAGGACAATGGATATTAAAGGTGAGTCAGAAGATGGAGCATAACAGCTCTTCAGGGAATGCAGTTTTCTGACTGTATATATTGCATCTATATTTCAGTACCAATCTGTATAACTCTGCAAAACTCAGCCTAACGTCCCTTGGAGTATGAGAAACTAAAAGCAGGGCTTACTGTAGCCTACCAAAACCATTTTCAGTCATGCCTCTGTTCTGCTTATTCATGTTGATAAGGATTTTAGCACACACATGCATATGCATGCAAGCAATAAAACTCTTTCTCATAGGCAGTATTGTGTAGGAAGATATGGACTGCTTTTAAATCTCCGTTGAATGTATGAATTTACATGTAAGAAGTCTGAAGGCAACATTCAGCATTTTTTCTCAGTAGTTACATTCTCCCTGTTAAGCCCTATGTTTGGACATGTTTGGACATGTTCATCATCATTTTTAAACGATTTTGGGACCATGCTGTCAGCTTTCAGGTTTACATAATGTGAATTAAAAAGTAGGAAAGCAGGAAAAAACACTGATGTAAGAAGGGCTAAAAAGAAGGATTTTTTTTTTTCATAGTAAAGCAGAAAGAAGTAGGTAGAGACCAGGAAAAAGTAGGTGTAGTCAAGAAACTCTTCTGCTCCAGGGAAGAGGCAGTAGAACATCTCTGATTTTGCAGGGAGACAAGCATCAAGGATTATTTATCATTGGCAAAAAGATGCCAAGACTTTGGATACATCTGTCAACTTTTGGACCCCTCATTTTTAACTGAAGAGGTGAGAGCCAGCAGCTAACTATCTGCAAAGATTAACTTCCTCCAACCTGACCCATAATTCAACAACCCAACTAATGCCATTTTCTCTTAACTAGTTAGTCCATATAAAGCAAAAAAACTTAAGCAGCTAAATAATAGGTTCATTGTGAGTCAAAGAGCATGTTGACCCATGGGGAAGGTGGTTCTGATTTACTTTCTCTTCCAGGTGAAGAGGAAACATCTTTCCAATAATCCACCATGATGTTATTACAAAATCATACTGATTTAATTATAAAATTCAACTTACTTTGTAAGCTGTGAACTTTTGAAATTTACCTTAAAAAAAGATAGTTTTAAGCACATTTACATGCAGCTATCAATAAAAAAGACAGGTTAAATCTGCGGTGTTACTTCAAACTGTGACAGCCAACAAAGATTTTGCTACCATACCGAAATAGTGGAGTGCTTTGTACAGGAAAGTGTTCAGCAATGAGAGTCAAAGACTTAAACTCACAATCTGTGCCAAATTCTCTTGGCCAAGATACTTGGAGGCAGTAAAATTAATATGGAAGTTTGACGGAAGCTTAGCAACACTTCAGAGAAAACTTTGAATACTTTCCTTTCCACATTCAATTTTATTGTATCGATCCCCTTTATGAATTTAACAATATAGTAAAAACATAATGAACAAATGCTTTCATTTAGAAGGGTGATCTACAAGAGCAAACTGATCCAAACTGCAACTAAAGTTTTCAATACAATCTTGAACCTGAGTTCAAGAAACTTTTTCAAGAAGCACAACAACTACCTGGCAGATGGCCACTTACATATGACAGCAATGCTGAAAATTAAGCTGTAGGAAAAAACAGTACTACCAGATTACCACAGGAGACTTGTGACTTCTTAGGTATAATTTCTGTTCTATGTTTTATAGAACTATTGGACAATAACTTGACAGAAAAACCTAAATTATTGAAGCAGAGCTAATAAAGTCAGAAAAGACAGAATATATGTCAGATCTGAATCAAAACTAAAACTTTACAAATAAAACATCATTGAAGACAAATCTTAAAAGAGAATTATATTTCAGGACATATATAATTAAAAGAGTTATATTAATGTATCACTACTAGATTTTTGTTTATTTCATTTGATTCACAGCCAGCTGTCAAGACCAACTACTGAGCTGCTCAACAACTGCAGTCAATGTAACTTTGTCATTTCCATTCCATTTCCTTTTTTCCAATCTAACTTTTTTCTGTACCTATTGTCTTAGCCAAATCTTATCTCTCCAGCCCACTTCCACAGGTTCATAGTCAATTAAAAAAAAAGATTCAAACAAAATGGGAATGGGGGAACAGGGTAGGGAATAACATGAGAAAAAAAATGGCCAGAGGCCCTAATCCAGATAATGCTGAGATAAGGCTCACTGCAGGTCCTCCTGGTTCACTAAAACCCCAGTGTTATATAGTGGAGCCTCCTGTTCCTCCCATGCTGGTGTTCCTGCCCTGGCCATTGACACCTGGGCACAGTTCATCAAACTCCTAAATGCTTGTGTTGAAATGAGTAAAACTTTGGCATTATATGCTATTTTTGGCATATAATTATATTAAGCATATAATTTAGGACCAAAGGCAACAACCAAAGCCATTAAGTATGAGGAATTTCATGTTTTTAGTACACTAGGAGGGACAGTCACCAGTGTAACAGCCTGGTGAAATGTAGGTCTACGTGAAGAGTCTTGATAACTTCACGAGGCTACTGATACAATGTTAATCCATGTCCATATTAAATATTGATGTTTCCACTTCTTGTTATGGCACTTGTGCATGTTTGCAATAATTTGCAAATTATTGAATACTGCTGATACACAAATAAACATCAGTGCATCTGTTTACAAACACCTTTTGGTAATATGGTGAATGTATTAAAATCCGAAAATATTGTTGGAGAAAGACCAAAAAGCAGATGGATACTGCAATGGCACAGCACTCAAACAGCAAAGGTGCTCGAACATGCACGTACCTGCACAACTTTATACTCTCCAACTGACCCCTTCTGAAGGGACTCAGCAATGTCAGCCATGTTTCACAGGGCTTGTACTACAAACCAGATTTCTCCCTTAGCTCCAGCTTTCCACGTGAAGAATGGAAAGTTGCCTTTCATAGTTGCCTTGGAACCATGATGACAATAAAGGCATACATACCCTAGGTGATGTAATTTTTAGTATAAGCTTCACCAGTATAATTCCCTAGTAGTTAACATCAGCACCTTATCAAGGGAAAACAGCTTTTTATTGTATAGAAAGTAAATCATGCCTCATACTCCACTGGCACAAGTACCAAAGCCAACTTGCCTCACTACCACATGGTATGGTAGCAGTAACTTTGTTAGAAGTCCCACAGAGTGGTCTGTCTTCTTCAACCCCATCACCCTACTGACCACACATTAGCTGTACACAGCAGCTGAGTGCCATATGGAATGGTGATCCCAGCTCTGCAAGGCAGAGGATGTACAAAAGCATCTTTCTTCCATAAACATGGAAGTTTGCTATTTTTTTAAAGACATCTGAATTACTAATTTTTTGACCTTTTCAAAGCAACAGAGAGATGTTCTGTAATATTTAACACATCAACAATGAGTAGACTAAAACAAACCACATAAAACCAAGCTAAATTCTAAATACAGCTGGTGCAGAAGAGAGATTAACAATTCCAGTATTGCACAGTGACTACAAAGGCAGTACCCACGCACATCACACTACTCCTAGAGCTAACAGCTTCCAAATCTGATAGAAAAATAGCTCCACATTTTCTTCTCTTTTATTTCTCCCTCAGGGTGCCTTGTTAGCAGATTTACCTGCCACTGTTTTGCAGCAATTCTCAGGACTAATCGGCTCAGTACCTTCTGGATTGTTCTCCCAGTCCAATTCCTTTATCTAATCTTGTATCAGATGCAGCAGAGAACTGAGCATCTCATGCTTTCCAGCTTTTTAAGAGTTCTATGGTTTACAGAGTGCAAGAGAGAAACAACCTGCAAGTGTACAAGAACCCTGAAGCACCAGAGAAGTAGGAGAAAGGTTAAAAGCAGAAGGAGATGATGCAGTCAGCCTGGGAAATCTGAACCCAAACCACCACCATTCCAATGGACAGCATTTTAAGCAATGAATACACTGGGGTCTGTCCTCACCACTTACTTATGAGACTATTAAGTGGCTCAAAAAAACAAAGGAAACCATATTATTTACTACTCAATTCATAATTTTATGTCAATGCAACATTTAAAAGCAACTGCCATGGCAGAAGTTCCTACAGGGCATATAATGTATAAGAAGTCAAAGTAGTACAACACAATGAATTGTGAAACATGTTATTCCCTGTAAGTGTTAAGCATTTTTTTCCCAGTTGGCTCCTACCAGGAAAGGTGAAGTGGAACAGTTGGAGGATAATGAAACCAGCGTGTGCCTAGTTTGTTTTGAGTCTAGCAACAAAATTGTCTAACCTGTGCAAGAGACTTACAGTGCCACCTGGATTTGATTTTACATTATAGTTCGTTCCTTGAAACCTATTATCTCTGGGCACCATACCAAGAATGCTTTGACTTTTGAGCATCCTGTAGATTGCAAGCATTATCATTCCTCTGCTGCAACTTTGACATTTCTGTGTGTTTGTGTGTGTTCTGGTTTGGGGGTTTGTTATTTTTTTTAACCAACAACAAAACAAATCAAAGAACATCACACTTTATGGATGATAACTGCAAGAGGGATATAAAGGAATACATATCACGAAAATCCATTGGGATATAGTGGTGACTGCACTGTAACAGATGCAGGTGTTTGACAAGGGCTGAGGATCAATTCTTTCATTTTTCAAGCATTCTGAATTACTGGAATAACATCAATATTAAGATTAATTTAAAGTAACAACAAAATTAATCAGAATTATGAAGTCTATGTGATCCCCAAGATTCGTCTTACAAAGCAGTGCTTAAAGCTTATCACAGAATCCTGTGGAATGTTACCCTCCATCTTCATTTAAATATTTGTCAAACTATCATGTACAAAAGAAACCAGGATCTGGTCATTTTTTAACAGCATTTGCAAAAAATAGATGACAATCCAGCAAATGGATTGTTTGTTACAGAATGTCCAGACAAAACTAAACGCAATGCCACCCTCCTGTATTAGTCATGGAATTGACAGACTCCTTCCTTCTCTGTGTTCTGCGCCAGAATTTATCTCACTTCTGTGCTTGACTTCAAATTTTACCCATGGTCCTTGAATTTCTAGTTAAATAAAGAGATATGGAACAAAACCAGGCATTTCAAATTACCTTTATACAGTGTGGGATGACTGCATGAAAACAGATTTGATAGCAAAGATATAACCATAATTACGTGCTGTTTGTAAAATGCCTTGAAAATATAACAAGTTACATAAATGCTCTGTCTTACTGAGTGCCATATATTTCTGCATGCATATGGAAGGTGGGTTGAAGAATGTGGGTAGATGTTTGCAGGGAAAGAGTAGTTAGAATGGTGAACATTGTTACTGTGTTATGGTAGATATAAATATGCCAATAGTAGGAGATATATCAACTGTCTAATTTTGTTTTCTTTCTCTCAAAAATGCTCACTGAGCATGAGGGAAACTTCAGACAAGCTAAAATAAGTAAATATCAACTTTACCATCCACTACACTTAGAGGGTCCTTGGGATCATCCTGGGAAGCAGATTTATGGCTCAGCACCTCAGGGGTTGGCCTCAGCACTCCAGAAGCAGGCCTCGGCTGGAACAGCTTCTTCATTTTAAAATCTTCTCCTTTTCCTTTGGCAAAACTTCCATCAAAAGGACTGACTTGTGTGGAGTAGAATCTATCGGCATAAACCTGAGACCCTTTAGTCCTGCTGTGAGGGCTTTTGTCACTGCTTTGTGCTGACAAGTTCTGGGTGATGTAGGTGTGCAGTGCAGCCATCAGGGCTTTTTGGTCAAGCCCCATTTCTGACTCTGGTGAGAACTTCTCTGTCTGGCTCTGGCTGAAGGTCCTCCCACGGAGGTTCTCAGCGAGCTGTTGGTGGGATTTTGATGGATGGGCCAAAGGAGGAGCTCGCTCTTTGGGGTTCTGCCTCGCGTAGTACCTGATAGGATCATTGTAGATGTAGCTCTGGAGAGAGTAGAAGGTGGGAAAAAGGAATGGGTCAGTATTGCTTTGTAATGGCAACTGTTGTGCCGGAATCTGAGGGATAATCCTCAGTGCTTCACAAACCAGGAAAACGATAATTGGAACCCGTAATATGAGTGTCGATTGCGAAGCTCAACATGCGGAGTTTGCTTCAAAGAGGTACTATCACTTTGGTGCAAATTGTGTAAAACAGTTAATTTAACTATTAAAAAGACTGAGAAAGAGATTGATCGGACCTGATGTTGACTATATATGCACTGTTCGTATTCAGTCAGAAAAAGAAAATTTAGTAAATCCACTTTCCCTTTGGTTTTTACTAAAGTTGTGGGGATAACAATTTTTTCAGGTTACTAACCAAAAACTAGCATGTCAAATTGAAAATATCATTTTTAGAAAAACACCAAGAAAGGAAAACAATTCTTTGGCATGCATGAAATTCTTCATTCTCTTTAAATTCTTTTATTTTCCCACTAAATTAAATGTCTCATCAATCTGTCCTCTGACAGTATACAAATGTAAAAACAACCTTAAAATTGATTTTTAATTAATGTATTATTTTAATTAATATATTATTTTCAACGCAGCAAATTAAAAAATAATGTAAAAAATGCGTTAATCAAGCTAAACCCACATTTTTATTGAAGAAGTACTGGTGAAAAAAAAGTGGAAAGGTGAACTTGCACTATTTTTTTCTATTTTCAGTTTCATATTTTCATGGAAACACCAGATGGAAATTATATCTACTGTCATTTAATCCTAAAGACATTTTTACTATGATCACAACCTAAAGACAGGACTTTTTGCTTTTTAACAAACCAGTTCCACCCTCTTAAACCTTTTCAAAAATCGTTTTCCTTCACTCCCTGCTAAATACAAATTTGAACTGAAAGGTTTACTTATATCCAGAATTATTACAATTAGATTCTTTGTTTATAATTCCCTTAGGACACTTTGCTGAAGTTGCATCCCATACTATATGCATGTTGAAGAATGGGTCCTGCTTCTCAGCTGTACTTTCCTGGTGCCACACAAACTATATCACAATCTGGGAAACTTAGGACAGGGACTATTTCAGCTCTCACTGCTATAAATTAGAGTGAATCACTGATGTCCCTGTGCACTGATAGTGTAATTTAAGACAGAAGGAGCTGCAAAATGCAGAGAGGGTGAAGAGACTATATGCCCCAGAACAGAGCCATTAGTAGGATTCAGACAGAAAAATCATTATTTATGTATTTCTTAATGTACTTTGTAAAAGCAAAACAAGTAAGGTTGGTTAGCTATTCCAGAGATGAAATAAAACTTTCAGATTTTATCTGGGTCTTCATTCCTGAACAATAGTTTTGCTCTCCATCTGAACAATTTTATTTCTTCTGATAACAACCAGTGGATTTTATAATAAATATTCATATCTCTTGCTTTCCAATAGGATTTTCCGCTGCTTAGGAAATGATTGAAGAGGTTCATTACATGGTTCCATATAATGATTTGTAGGTTTATGGTTTATGCAACTTTATTACAGAGACAAAAGGCACTTGGCTACTTTGGCTAGTGATCCACCAATGCAAGGCTTTGGGCTTTTGCGGGTGGTGTTTAGCATAGAAACGTGCTTTGTGAAAGCCAAGAAACTGGGCTACGCTAAGGCAGTGTCAAAGAATATAGAGCTAGAGATCAAACAGCTTTGTGTATGAAACATTTCAGTGTCCCCCAGGAACTGTATCAAACAGCAGCAGCGCAGCTCTGGTTCAGTGCTCCAGCTGCAGGGTACGCACTGCTCTGATCAACACCGAGGGGGAGCCAGTTGTCAAAATGCAGCTTGAACGCTGTTTACATACTTAATAGCAAACTCTAGACGTGAAAAAACTTACAGTTGTATGTATTTATCTCTCAGTGGCGACGGGTCTTTGCATGGGGTAATTAACTCTCTAATGATACTCACTCCTGAGAAGGAGCTGCCGAGGATGGCACAAAGCACCCCCAGACGCGACAAGTAGTTCCCTGAGAATTCAAAAAGCTGCCACCTGCCTTTCCCACTCGCACTCCCTGCCTTGCTGCGTTTCGGAGGACCTTCTGGGGACAAGGGAACGAAGAACAGGGAGCTGGGAAAGGGAGAATCATGACGGGGAAAGAGGACATTCTCTATTCAGACACGAAAAGACACGAAGTCAGCTCAATCCAGTTTGGGTAAATGCACACTATTTTGGATCTCTGTTCTATATCCAGCTGGGTTTTTTTGCCTCTTAAACTTTACTAATAAATCAAGTTTTAAAGCGGAAAAAACTGCTAGACATTGTCAAACCACTGTGAAAGATTAGGATCAGGAGATGTGGGCTGGCTTTTGATGAACTATTTAATAACTCAAAATATCCTTTAACATTAACAGATCAGTTATATTCTGTTCTTGCAGACAACAAGCACATCAAGAAAGAGAAAACCACAAACCCACCAAGTGACTGTACATAAATTGGATAGAAGTGTGTGCCAGTCCTGGGTTCAGCACTGCACCTCTGTCAGGAAGGAGCAGCCTCTCAGAAGCTTGACAGGTCACACCTTGGGCAGTAAGGGATGAAATATTTAAAGCCTAATTAAAGTAAAGCACGGACAGCTCAGCTGTCTTCACAGTGTACTCAGATAGCAGCCCATCTGATGTAGCTTACTCTGACTTGATTAAGAGTGTCTCACAGCTGTATGGTAATCCTTCACTTGGAGGAGAAAAAAATCCCCTTTCCCACTGCCCCTATCTCCAACAAAACTCCAAAAATATATGTGTCAACTGACACATAAGGTGAAATCCAAATAAAATTGCAGCAGAGATAAATACAATCCTAAACTATGGGTTTATCTAAGTAGCATGGGAAAAAGAACCTGTTTTCTTTACAGAAAAATATAGAAACATATCAGTTATATGTAGTTTAGAATCCAGTGACAATTTACATCTCAAGTTATTAATAACAATTGCAGACCAGTGTGATAATCTTATTTGAAGGGGTTTTTTCAAGCTAACCTCCTGAACATGGACATTGCTAGTTTGACCTATGTCAAAATTGAATGGCATTAAGCATGGTTAGTGAAAAGAAGAGTCTGTAAATTCCCATGTTGGTGCCTTTGGAGAATCTTCTAATGTTATGGAGAAGCAGAGCAAAACAGGGAGCTGGAAAATGTTAAAAAGAAAATGAGTTTCTGGATTGATTAAACTGAATTTATACAAAGCACTGCCAGTAATAGCACACAAGAAACCCAAACATACATTAAGTGAAATGTGCAAAAACTATAAAAGAATGCAGCAGTTACAATATAGATGGTTTATACTAGCAGGGTTAGAATACAAGCCCCTATTACTATCGAGAACATTTTATTTTTAATAGGTAAAATACTGTTCAATTGTCTCATGTCACTGATACAACATCTTTTCAAAGTACTCTGAATTGCTAAAACCCCAGTTAAAAAAAAAAATCTTATTTCTCCATCTGCACAGGATTTTCCTCTCCTTCACCACCTTTCAAATAAACTATCTCAATAATTCCCACATTATCAAAAAAGCCCACACGCTAACCTTTCTGAAGATGGAATTGTTAGGGTAATGCCTTGTATGGTTTAGGTTTGTAACTAACTGATATTTTCTACGTGAAAGTTCACAGAAGGGCACATTAAATTACACTGTGCAGAAGCACTATGCAAAAGTCCATGTTTTATTAAAAAAAAAATTAAAAGAGGGGGAAGGATTAGATACATACAACCCAGTTCAGTTTATCCACTAGAGGGTAGATTGATTTGAATGTTTTGCCCAAGTGCAGGAAAAATGGAATCAAGTTTATAACAAAATACTTCCTTTCTTGCAGATGCATTTGCTAAAACTTGAAGGAATGTAGAGCTAACAAAAAAATCCCTTAGAAATGCATAAAGAAGTAATATTCTACCCTCAGTTTGATGTGTTTTCAGATACTAATTTATGTTTGCTACCACCTAAATTTGATTGGAGCATGATTCCACTTACAATGCTTTATTTACTGTGCCTGCTTGAGATAGTGGCTGTGTGGTCTCTGAAATTAGAAAATGTAATCACAACAAACAGTGGAAGGGCCTTCTCCACCCATGGTGGGATAAAATAATATTTTCCAAAGACTACCAGAAATGAAATTATCTCATAACTTAACTCAGTGTGTGGAGTGAAAGAAGTTTAGCTTTTTCTACCAGACACAGTCTAGATACTTTATGACCCACACAAACTTGCCTCATGTGAACTCACTACATAGGAGATACACGTACTCATGTGAACCCCTAAAATAAACAGCGGTACAAGCCGTGCTGCCTAATTGTTAAGTCAAAGTGTAGACTGTGAATTTGTAGCTCTCAATTTACCTTTGAATTAAGAGAGAAATTGAGAGAAAATTGAGAGAAATCCACCCAACAATGAAACCTGAGCCCAAACGTCATGGAGTGGATTACAGTGCGAAAGTCCCTGGGATGGAGCTGAGTAAGCAGAACAGCTTTGTCCTTGGAGCATCACAGCTGCAGTAGCAAGTCCTGTGCTAACAAAGCCTTAATTCTTTCAGCTGCTGTTCCCATACAGTGCTGTCCTGTCAGGATATCTTGGCAGGCTTCCAGCCAGGTTCAAACAGGTTTAAAGGGGGGAACCCCTCTTTACAAGCCCCCGTGTGCTGGAGACATGATACTACACGCTCTGCACCAAAGTCAGTGTAAGGTTTGTCTGAAAATGAAAGCTAAAGCCAAAGACAGAATTGAATGTTTTGAGTAAAAATGCAGCAAAAGCCTTTTCTACCAGCTGATAACGAACTTTTCACTTACTATAATGATATTATAGCATGCACAAAACCCAAGAATGCAGAAGACTAATTTAGAGCCCAGAAACTGGTAAAGAGGCCAAATCAGTGCCTCCTGCAGCAATGGGATAGCATCAGGCCATAGCCTTTCAACAGACTCACAGGTTTCAGGCAACAGGCACCATTACAGTCATCTCACCT